CTGCCCAGGTGCCACCATATTCTTGTCTATTAACTGTCATTACAGAGAGAGTAATTAAACTACACCTTAGTCAAGTGACATTTCTACGAACTTCAAGTATGCTCATACCCTATTTGCCCATATCCCTAACACCTGTAAGCTTGTTAGTCCCTAAGATGCATTTACGTCCACTTGATTATTACCTATAGCTATTCTTACCCTGTTGTCAATTTTGTGACAACAGCCAACACAGTTTACCCTTTGACCCAGAATCACTATAGAGTTTTGGCCCCATCTCTGAACCACTGTCAAATGTTAGCATAAACTTGGGTACCACCTTGGTGCCCTCCAGTTTTTGCATCACAGTCTCATGCCTCAAAATACTGGGTATCACAAGTTGTAATCTAGGCTGAGAACCATGGTTTGTTGGTGAATAACAGTGCTACAGTACTTTTTTCTACTTGTACAAATGCCATATGTTATGTACTTTCATTTTATGTTACTCACTTTGAGCTGGTTTGATTTATATTACTGCATGGCATTGAAATGTATAATACACTCACAGTGGTCAAGGATTATGGTATCTTTTTCATGCCCTTCTAAACACTTAAAAGTGACACAATGAAAATCTATACATAATCAAAACTCTTTCATAAAGATTTGGTACACTCTGAAAAGCCCTTTAACAATGATTAAGACAAATTAGACTCATTAACAGTGACTAAATACATTTTAACAATGTTCATTTCATAAATACTGAAACTGCATTTAAAACATATATGTGATGATTATGCTACGAAATCAAAACATAAAATAACACTCTTTATCAAAATAATAATAATTACAAAATAACAGTATGCACAACACCAAAATCACAAACTTGGATTATATGGGATGATGGCTTTTACTTCACAGCAAAGTTGCTAGCACAAATCTTTTTATTTTGTAATACTATTTCACTCACCAAAGATTAAAATTTTTATTTCTAGTTTATTGTTTTTCAAAGAGCTCAGAATATAAAAGTAATTAACAGGAGTGTAGTGTTGCTGTAGCACACTAGAGTTTTCAAAAACATAGGCTATTTCAGTTATTCTAATGTATTAGGACTTTAAAACTTCAAAAAATTGTTTATATGTATATATAAAATAAGTTATTTAGTTAAGTGCTCAGAATGCCAAAGAATACTCATTGTTTGTGATGTCCTGTGTTCACTGCAGAGCTCTCTTAGACTGCCCATTACACACAATGACACTATTTCTCAAGAGCTGGTGTCAGGCTGAAGAGTAGGTGTCAGAGCATTAAATTGATTAAATATTTTTTATCATTTGTCACATGATTAATAAAACACACAAATATGGTACTAAAGGATTAAATAAAATACATTTTACAATTATACTGTGTGTTTAAAACACACATTTTTAGAAGACTTATTATTTACATAATGTACAACAAAAATTGTTTTTAATTTAGTTATTTGTTTGGACAAAGCAGGAGGTGTGCAAACCAGCATACAAGTCAAAGCTATTAATACTGTAGTGCAGTTAGAAATATAGAAAATTAATAGGACATGGATTTTTAAACCTTTTCTTAACATTGGTGATTTTTATATGGTACCTAGTTGTTGTTTCTTTTTCCTTGCTGTTTAATTAAAAAGAAGTTGAGATGCATATTTTCTCTTGATGTTATATGCATTTTCAGTTTAGTACTAATGTAATTAGTATCAGAAAATTAGAGCTGCTGATATTTTCTTTGTCTAAAATGGACTCACAAAAATGGAAATCAGGTTCTGAATATGATATCTTTACTCTAATGGTGATGTCAAAAATTTGAAAAATTTTGTCAGGGATGTGGCACTATGAAATTTATCATTACACTACTAGTAAGTAATATGCAGTGTAAAGTTTCTGGATTTGTTAACAGGTTATATCTTGCATGGAAAAGCATGTAATAATAAGTACAAGCCAATGTTTGGTACATGTTATTTTCTAAAGAGAGACTGAGTGTGTTTGAAAAGGAATCTTTTATTTGTTCATATTTGGTAAATATTAGTTATACTTCTTACATGATTTTTTTTTACTAGACATGAAAATGTCAGACATAAAGCTGCTTTTTAATGGGGAATTACATAACATTGTAGACAAAATGTACTTAATGCTATCTTGTTAGTTAAAGATTATGGCTGATTGTGATATTCATTGGATTCCAGTTGCTACTTGGAAAACGAAATAAAATAGAGGTATTTCTTAAATTGTTTAAGTGTTACCACTAAATTGAATTGCTTTGTGAAGGTGCTTGAAAGTCCTTGAATTGTATTGAGAAATAAGTATATGAACCATGTAGTCCTATATCACCTGGCAATTGCTCATCCTTTAGAAATTTTGTTTTTAAATTTTTGTTCAGCTTCCAACTGTGTGTTGTCCCTTTTATCTACTTGCAACAAATCTCTGCTTCTTTATTAATATAAATTTTACATGTTCAGAATCTTAGTTTTTTATACTATTAAAAATATTTGAGCAAAGTTAATAAAAAAGTTTGGTTTTCTTATTTTAATATAATTTAGGGAAAAAAATCGTTTGTTACTACAATTTTCATACCTTTTACTATTTTTTTTTATTAGTGTGGCCTCTAATAATCATAAAAGAAGTTTCTAGAAGCATGGTGAAAGTACTCCTGCAATTAGCAGACTTTACAATACCTTGATTTAAGTATTCAGATTAATTATCTTTACACATAACCTTCATGTAGAAAGCCACCCTGTCAATTTATTTATGGGCCAGGTTGTCTTAAGTGTCCATTTTTCAACTAGAAAATGTTGAAAAAAAAAATATTCTCCTATAAGTATGATTTATACAGGTCTTGAAAATATAACTACTGAAAAGCCTCGTACTAAAAATCTAGCACTCGGGCTACATTCAGTCATATGTCTTCACCTTGATGAAGGTGACTACTGTTTTTCACATGTGTTCTTTTTTACCAGATTATATTGTACCTAAAATAAAAAGGCAAACAAATTGTAAAAAGGCTTTCCCTCCTGTTGCCTTTTTTCTCTGATAATATTTCTGCTGCTGACTTTGTTTACCATCAGTTCTAAAAGTACAAACAGTGCCGGATTTAGGCATAAGCTAAACAAGCTACAGCTTAGGGCCTCACAATCTGCAGAGGCCTCACAAAATTTCAGATTTTTTTTTTTTTTTGCTTTTAAAAATTTTATGTGGATTTTTATGTGTACTGTAGTTTTTAAAATGGCTTGTGTAGCAAATTGCTATGTGTAGTTTTAGCATTTGTATATATATCTTAATGTATCTTAAAATTATTTTCAAAATTACATTTAAGTATTGTTTCCAGTGTATACTATATTATAATCAAGTCAGCCAAATGATAAATATATAATTAGTAAATGCATTCATTTGAAAATAATTTGAATCTTTCACTTTAAATACCTTGCTATTAAATAATTAAAAGGACATATATATATGTATATATATATATATATATATGTTTTTAATTTTTTTGTGGTGATCCACGGTCCTGTTTTGGCATGTACCTTTGTGAAACCTTCTGGTGTAACTTTTTAACAAGGAGCCTCCAAGCTTTATATAGCTTAGAGCCTCACCAAGTCTAAATCCGGCACTGAGTACAGATATGAAACCCATTACCGAAATGCATACCACCTCTGTATATAAGCAAAGATGGGTGTAGGAATTAATGTAATTACCTATACATTTCTACAGTAAATTCAGCTATAGCAGTCTAATAAGGAGAATTATTTTGTAATAGACTACTTCCACAGATCATAGACGTAAGCTTTTATTCTAATGTGGCATTATACTAAGAAGTGCACCTATAAAGAGTTAAATTAAAATGGTGATTTCCTTTACCCATTCTATGAATTCCTTTACATCTCACCATGTCCCCAGTTATCTGTTTTTATAAATAGACCCCTTTTGAATATTATTATGTAATCTCACTTTCAAGGACTTTTCTTGCAGGAAAATGAGTTTATTTGTGACTATTACATTTTAAATCCACCCTGCCCTAATCATCTGCACATGGTGGAAACTAAATATGGCGGGAAAAGCGTTATGCATTCTATATATTCCCATCTGAAGTCAAAAAGAACACGTAAAGGAGTTCACGCAATATCGTGTTCTGTGGTTTTTATGCAATTTACTCTTACCCTTTCAGTTATTGATAACAACAAATATCTTGGCTGTTGTGAATAATGATATAACAAAATGACATAATTTGAGTATGTACACCAAATATATGTGCAAAGGAGATCAAGTGCTTAAAAAACTAATTTTATTACAAGCTTTAAATAGACATACTCAAAATATCTCTTGATATCCTGTGTTTGGGGTATGATCAAATCAAATTATATACTTCCTAGATTAATTTTAGACTCATAATTTATAATTATTGTCTGGAAAATTAACAACCGTAAAGGAGAACACATTATTATGGCAACATGTTATTTTGGATATTTTTATATGTCAAAAAGTAATGGGACAATCAGCTAATAATAGCTTTTCAAAACATAAATGTTTACTAATTACTCACAATAAAGGCTTGAGTAATGCATACAATTTTTGTTTTTGTATTATTGCTTTGAAATTAAATTTTTCTGCTGGCTTGCTACTTTTAACACCCCACCATTGTTTATTTCCTTGGTTTGCTGGAAAAACTCAACATATTATATATGTTTGGAAAGTTTTGTTCATCATCTATCATTTATAATGCCCCAGAACATTGACAACATCAAATTGGACACTTAAGAAAGCTTAGCCCTTATGGGATATACTTTTGCCCATTGCTTCTGCTCAGGGTCTTTTCTGCAGGTAAACTTTTATTTACTGGTGGGGCAAATCCCCTGACCCCTCAAGTTTATATTTCTAGGTTTAATGTTTACCAGTAGTATTTTTTTTAACAATTTTAATGACTTGCTAAGGAAAATATAATTTCAGTTGTTTTAAAAAATTGTTTTTTTAATAAATGCTGAGATTATTGGTTGCTATCTGCAGGCAATAATCTTGAAAAGGCTCTTAGAAAAATTGGAAGGGAAGATATTGTCAACAGCTGCATGTTTAATGTGGAAATTGTTACTGATGATGTAGAAAAAGCAGTTGCAAAAGTACATTTGGACCAATCAGGTAAATATTTGTATAATTGAAAGTAGAATATTCCTTATGTATGTTAAAACTATCACTCATTTACTAAAAACAAAAGAAAGAACTTTCATCTTCAGAAAAAAAATAATACTTTAATGAATCAATATTTCAACTTATGTCTTTGACGGGAACTCAGGATACAATGTAATACAAAAACTAAGTACAATTGATATAAAATGAGGCTTATGTATAAGTTGAATTTAAAAGTATCACATTGAATAATCTTGTAACATCACATATAGTTTTAATGTTACATTAAAACTGTTTAACATGATATGTTAGATATGGCTTTTGTATAAATTTTGAATATAGGAATTTTTCATCTATATTGTTACATCATAGAAGAAAACTGATAAACTTAAATAACAAGGAATTGATATTGTAGTTTGCAAATGCATCAGACACCCCATTGCTCCTATAGGTGAAATAAAACAGTTTTAGTTTAACATAAGGGAGGTGATATGAAAGGAAATGAAGACAGATCAGTTTCATGCCGGTTTGTTGAAAATGCCTGCAAGTAAATGGATATGTTTGATACTTATGATATTTTCAATAAAACTGAGCTGTTACTTGCCTTCAGAATGCTCAAGAATAAATTTTATACAAGAGCGAAGTGAATTTAGAAAACAATGAAACTTTTGCAAGAACTATGTAATTTTTTTCCATTACCATACTCTAAAGATGTTTATAAATTATAATAAATGAATTTGTACCAAGAATGTAGATCAAATTGAATAGTGGAACACTACTGTCTCAATGCTTTTTGTTCAAGCATGTTGAGAAAAATGTAAGAAAAACAACAGTATTCCTTTCGTTTGTCTTTAGAGATCACCATTGAACTTCCAATAACTGTTATCTAAGATTAAGAACCTTAATGCTCATTCAATCCATTAAAAAGGAATATCCTGAAAAGGCAGCTCCAGATGTTCTCACTGACAAAACTGATCGAGTTGTCAATTCCCTCATCAATGGGAATGGATATGTACAGTTGTAGGACATCATGACTGAGTAAAATTGTGTTAGAATTTATCACGTAACTGCTGTTTTCCTTAATTTTTTTGTACTAAGTTATAAGTGCTCATTAAATATGAAGGTATTAATTGTAAAAAATGGTGTAGGAATTTTTCAGAATCCATGACAGTTTCTTAGTGGCTGAGCCATTTGTAGATAGTATGGGTCTTAAAGGCATGTTAGATTTGTGGACTTAGAGAACAACATTAAAATGGGTACACAACTGTGCATGAGTTTTAAGTGATTTTTAAGATGCTTAAGTTTTAGGTGATTTTTAAGAAGGGGAGAGAGAGTTTAGATTTCTTCTAATAAATTGAGAAAAGATTTAAAGAACCTCATTTTATTCAACCTTTAAACTCGGTAATACATAGAAATAAAGGTTGACAATTTGAAACTGTTCTCACTGACAGAGCCCCGAGGTATAACATATATATAGACATATTACATTCATGATCTTTTCTTATAATTTATCATACCATGTATTGATTTCCTTTTGCATTATGTTTTTGAATTTATTTATATTAATTTCCTTATTTATGGAAACATAATAATATGGAGTTTATCTTTTATGTGCACATATTGTAATATTATACAATTTATGAGAAGCACCTTCAGATGTTATTTGCATAAGTACTTGCTCACTATACTACACTGAAATGTGTTCACATATTGAAGCAATTTTTATATGCTCTGTCTTTATATATCAATTCCTTTTCATTCATATCTACCAACTTTTGTTTGGCTATAACCTGCCTCCCAGTGGTAAGTTTGAAGGCTTATAATGTTAAAAACTGAGTTTTGATACCCGTGGCAGCTTAATAATAAAAAAACAAACAAATCTATAACCCAATAATATAGCTTACATTTTGTTATGTATGTATTTGAATACACAAGAGAAAACCTAATCTAAGACATATTGTTGAAAACTTTTAGTTTTATACTGTTTGACTGTTCTCCTATTTGTGATATTGTGAAGTTAGTGTGATTTTTTCAAATGTTAATTATAGATAATGCTAATTTTATATCAGTTTTATTCACTTTTTGTATTACATTGTACCCTGACTAATACTGCTAGAAACCAGGTTTCTATACCCATGATGGGCAGAGTACAGATAACCCTTTGTGTAGCTTTGTGCTTAATAACAAACAACAAGAAAATATTGATATATTAAACTAATACTTTTTCTGAAGTTGAAAATCATTTCTTTTTTTATCAAATATGTCAAATAATTTACTTGAGTTAGCACTTCATACATAAAAAAAGTCTGTAAGTTGTTGCACAAAACGTTTTGTGACACTATAAAGTTTATGTAATAGTTTACATAATTTTAAATATAGTATTTCCAAAAGATTATTGTTTAAGGCTCATAATGTGGGTTTATTGATAGGTAAAAAAAGTTTATTGAAGAATTCTTCGTGTTTAAAAAGTTAATTAGCATCTTTTTGCACTAGCTGGCACTAGATTTAGGTGATTCCAAGTACAATTTCTTGTTAAACCATACATGCACAACAAGAACACTCAGGTGAAACAAGACTTGGGTTGTTATTAGTTGAGAAAATAGTATTGAGTTAGAAGCTTGTACATTATACAGGCACTGTTGTTAAAACCTGAAGGACAGTTTAACAATACCATTAAATGTAATACTATTAAGAGAAACTGTATTCCAATAATAATTAAAATAAATAATTTCATTACAATGTTTAAGATAGTATTTATAGAAATCTGCAAAAAGGAATTATAAACAATAGTTAAACAGGGATGCAACTGTACCAGTTATAAGATGTACAAAAGTTGTCAATATACATGATGCTAATTATATCAAGCGTGTGATTCCCATTCCCTCTTAATACCAGTTTCTGGACCAATTTTCATTTTCCTTATTATGAGTGCTTCTTTAAAACATCTGGTGTTGGTATTGATATCATGTAACAGATTTCTAATTCATGCAATTTCATCTTTTTATGGCATTCCAAGACATGGAACATAGCAGCCGAGTTTTCTATTTTGCCAGAATGGGCATTTTATTTATTTCATTGATATATTCTGTTTCTTCAGAACACTTCTTTTTTACAACCACACATGAGACTGCAGACCAGTCTTTTTTTGTGTACTTGCCATAGTGAAGTATTCATTTTCATTTAAGATTTTTTAGTGTTGGCTTAAATGTGGATCCTTTAAGATGTCATCTGACTGTGTTCATATAGTGTATGTATAGTTTAATTAAAATAATGTACTTGTAATAATCTAAGCCTGATGATGGTTTTTGCAATGTAGCCAACAGATTGCTGAATAATTTTTTTACTTATATTTTAAAGAGTTTCAGCTTATTGAATACTTTAGTTTATAATTTCAGCAAATCTCTTTTTTTTTATAGGATTTGATGCCTTCAAAGATGAACTTGGTTCTTCAAGGGATGCATCATTGCGACGAGACATTTCCCTTGATGTATCTTATGATGAACAGGACATAATGAAAGTATGTGTTAAGCATCTGTATAAAAATATTTCTTGTTCACTTGTAAATTGCCTTCTTCTTTGATTCTAGTTTACTTAATTGCCCTAGCCTGTGCTAAAAACTATTCCTATCAAAACAAAATTAATGCAGAATTATATTAATACAATGAATTATATTAGTGTAATAAACATTTTTTTATGTGAAATAAAAAATAGACAAATTATTATAAAGTAGACCTAAAGCAAGAGATTATTTTTTATGTTCAAAATGTAGTGTGTTTAATATTTTACAGTGCCACCGACCTATGACTGATCACAAACTTGCCCAAAAAGATGACTTCACAATAAGCAAAACTTGTATGAATATTTTAGGACTAGTATCTATTTAACTTTATTATGATATATGTTATTATTTCAGTTTTTGTACAAAGTAATGCAGTATCTTAAAATGATTCATGTGATTAAATGATTGATTGCCTTGAAACACTTGTATAGGAGTTTTTAATGTAATAATTTGAAGTATTAAAAGCTTTAAGCTCAATAAAATAATGGCATTTAAGTCTTTCAGCAGAATACTTTGAAAAGATCGTAGTCATAGTTGATATAAATAAAGTATGGACTACTAAAGTTTAGATCATCATTACACATATAGATATATGCAGCAGTGAACTTCAGTTTTTAAATAAATGTTTTCACCATAAAAGCTGTTGATTATAAGCTAATAACATTACGTAAAAGATGCGAGGTGTTACTTTGTGGTTGGCATGTTTGTACTGTGAATCCAAAGATGCATGTTTGCATCAGCCACTAAAACTCACTCCATGCATTTGGGCCATGGATATGCTCTTAGACTGACAGTTAAGTTCCACTACAAAAGCAGTTCAAGTGTTGTTGGTGGGTGATGTTGGCTATTTTCCTTTTCTCTAATCTATGTAGCTTTTCTTGAAAATTTGAAACAAACAAATAAATTCAGAAAGAATAGCGTGTGGTAATGCACTGGTATAAGAAAAAGGAAATGTGTAATCATTTAATAATTATTAACCTGAATGTTTTTATATGTATAATGAGTCAATTGTGCAGTAAACATGACTTTTTAAAACTACTAGACATTAAATAAGGATTGTGCCAATTATTAAATGTAGGAAACTTTCATGGTATTTTTTGTTATTTATTTTTTGATAGTTTAATCTTGTATTTTATGCGCATGTGTGTATACATAGATATCTGATTCCCACTGAATTCCTCCCAATGGCTCAGAAGTTTGAAGGCTTATAATACTAAAACCAGATTTCAATACTTATAGCAGGCACAACATAGATAGCCCATTGTGTAGCTTTCCACTTAACGACAACAAACTCACTGAATTCCTTATCATTTGATAATGCAAGACAACCATGAATAAACCTATGGCTGGAAGGAAATGAAAAGCTTTTCCACTTATAAATATTCATATAATGAGAGTTTTAAATGCTGTAGAGCCAAAGCATACAACATTTTGAAGAAATATTTAGTGATAATGATCGGTATTCCATTGCAGTGTGAGACTTTAAAAGTATGGTTAACCTCAGTATAGATAGTTAAGTGTAATACTATATTGTAAAGTCTATTGTGTCACATTTGATGCTTTTACATGTTATAAAGCAAAGTTCAAGTGACACTCATTACTTAACTTTTACAGGAAGCAGAATCAGCTGAAGAAACCAGCAGTGAGGCTGGTTCAGTCCATGAAAAACAACCATCCACACCAGTAGAAAAGAAACCAGAAGAAGGTAATTTTTATCACCAGAATATGTTTCTGTAAGGTATTATGTGTTAATAAATATGTTTATGAATATTATAGTTTTTGTAATCAAGTATGAATATTTTATGCATTTGATAGTTTTACAACTGTAAATATTTTAAAAATGATTTTAATAATATTTTTTCACTGTTTCATGACTTGGTGATTCTGAAACTTATTTTAAGCATTATCTTAACTATTTTGCTAATAATTGTATTTCAGTGTTCAGTTCGGAGTCAAAACTGGCAGTAAGTTTGACTATGTTCATCACCTTGTTAATAATACTGAGATTATCCTGTGTATGGTAAAGGAAAATTTGTTGAGGGAGACAAAATGCATAATACAAGTGTTCTCAAATTGTTGTTATCTTTTCTTCTCTCAGCAATTGGTAGCTTGGATATCAAATACAAATTAAATGAAGCCTATTTGTTTGAATATTAAAAAATAGATCATTGCTAAATTACTGAAGGAATATTACTGAGATATGTAGATGTATTGTTTTTCTAAAATCTGCAACATTTTTTATGCTTGCCTTCACTAGATCTACACAGATATCCATAGAATCTAGTACATATACTGTGATTAAGGTGTTTTGTTTTATATATCTGCATAAGTAAGTTGCTTTTCACATTTTATATTAACCCTTTCAAGACGGGTCACGGGAGAAATGCCATGTCATCTCGTTTGTTGACTCGCATTCAAAATTTTATTGAACTACTATTTCATGAATTGATGTCAGTAACTTTGGTATCAAACTGTAGATTATAATTCAAATTTTAGTACTATATATTACTCAATTTCTTAATTTAAAAGC